GCACACAAAGAAAAAAACAGGGTTGTTAATGCTTCAATTCAACGCATTTAGTCACCGCTGCCAGAAGAGGCAATGATCAAAGTGGGTTCTTGCATTGTTTTTTTTAGCAAAATCACCTAAGCTTTTTACTCAAAGGCCTCCGTCTCATAAGTCTTGGTTACACTTTATTTTAAGGTGTCCTTGTTACAGTGTAATTATATATTTGATTTAAGTACCGAGTAATATTATTTAACTACATGTACTTACTATATGGTTAGGGTTAGGATTAGGGTTTGGCTTAGGGTTACTTGCATGTAATTATGCATAATTAATTGTTATTATAATAGTAAGCACATGCAATATGTGTAACAAGGACACCTTAAAATAAAGTGTTACCAAAGTCTCTTCCAAGATAATATTTACATTTTTCCCATGTAAGTGAAAATATTTCTATTGGCACTTTTGTTAAAACGCTTAGAAGTTTCTGCATTTGAGAACTTTTCATAGAAACCAGAAATGTCAATAGAATACAATAATTACCCATAAATCCTTTAATTTATTTACTCCTTAACTTTATTAATTTTGGTTATTCCAGATGTTCTAGGAACTGTGTGTTCTGTAAGTTAATAAAACATTAGTTGAAGGCCAAAAATAAGAAATATGATTTCAATATACATTAATTCTACATCTTGATTTTAGTGGCTTTAGCCTTTGCTGAAGTTAGATTATGTATTAAGCTTACTTATTATTATTAACAGTACCTATTATTAATATTATTATTACTGAATTAAGACATCATGCAGCCACCTTGGAAGTTGGAAGTAAAGAACTAAATCCTACTTTTAAATTAATATAACCTTTGAAAAGGTCAACCAAACCTTTGAAATTTCTAAATTTGTCAATGCACTTGAGAAGGGGCATTAAAGTTCACAATTTGATCAATATAAGCGCATTTATTCAAAAGATTATGTAAACAAATTCAAAGTCCATAGGGGCCTGTTATTGAGTTGTTATGGGTTTAAAAGTTCCCTAAATGAAAACATACAGACGACTATTCATATTTCTTTATTATTCCTGTATCCACCACTGTATTTTAAAATCATTATTTTTAAAATGATTTCAATTCCAGGTCGAAGCTGAGTTCAGCGCCGTTCATGGATCTTGACGTAAAAGGATGAAGATTTACGTTAATCCCTCAACTGATCATGTCATGTCAGACCTTCTGCATTTTATTTATTATGATGCAAGGCATTTAAAGATGTAATAACATGCATGTCACCTATACTATTCGATAAGAACAAGCGGTCTCGAGAAAATGACAACACAACACGGTTACAGTAAGAGGATTTCACGTCTCTGTAAATCAGCAAACTAATCTGATCGTATTTAGAAAACCATGCCCTTAAATTTTACACACGTCATTTGGGTAAATTCATTGAAAACCACATTAAATGGTTAATTTGAGCATCCTCTATAGTGCAGTGCTCATAGTATGATTCATAGAGTGCAGATGAGCGCGAGGCATCAATATGTCTGCGTTTCCTACCTCATTCACCAGACCCTGCCAATCACTTTCGCTTCTTCTGGAAGGATTCATTTTCGGTCCGAGAATATTCTTCTAAAAAAAGCTGTCAGTTACAAAAACTGTCACGTCGTAAGCATCTATTGCGACGAGGATGACACGATTACATGTTTCAGGTTTCATCAACATCACGTCGTACATCATTTCCGGCTGGGATGATGGCCAACCGCAGCGTGTCGCTTTTAAACAGGGACACGAAGTGACAGTGCTACAAAATTTAATGAAGCTTCTTATGTTAAATTATACGATTATAATAAACCTGTGGTCTCGAATAAAACTATAAATTGTTGTTGCAAATTAATTTTTGCTGCGATAGTCTTCTTCTGTTGTTTACATTGCTGTTGAACGCACCCCCAAACTTACAACGAATTTCAAACATCACACATTTCACGTTATTGTTGTACTTGTACTCCATTATAATTACACAGTGTATAAGATATAATGTATTCTATTGTACTAAAGTGCGATTAACTAATTTATATTGCTATTTAAAACAATAAATAATTAAACATGGTCTCAATTAGTTTGAAAATATCATACAAGGTTATTTTAAACGTCCACCATAATTTCACATAACACAGCATATACGCACATAATGTAAATAATAGAACATGAACATAATGCACAGCAGAAAAAAAATCATACAGACAGGCCTCTAAATACATAATTTCTGTTCTTACTTTAAATGGCTACATTTGTGACCTGCTTATTCCTCTGGTCTTATTTATCAAACCCAAGTGCTCTGTCACAAAGAATGATGTTGCTGACTGGCTGGTAAAGTGATCTTTGTGAACATAAGCAGTTTCTCACTGTCAAGGAGTGTTATGAAATGTAAGTTTTAACGTGCTTCTTTCTTATTATGTCCTGTGTTTATGTTGACAGTATGTGGAACATTAATGCACTGAAGAAAATGCTAAACTGGCTGCTAAACCATTTGTCCAGCTGGCTTCCTTGTTAGAAA